AACGTAAGGGAACGTATGAAGATGGATGAGGCATGTTGCTTTTGAAATAAGCAAGCGAGAGCAGGTAGGGTATTTACTGTAGCTGCATGTCTTTAGCAGTGAGAATGAGCCAGCCGTGTTACTATAACAGGCGAAGGCGATGCTATCGGTACAGTAGTACCCTCTCTTCCCCTCCTATATCGTAGTCCCACTAGCAATTCAGCAGCATTACACCGAAGAAGGTCCCCCTCGGCCCTTCTTTCCTTTTCTAATTGTTTGTTCTTCCCTTTGCGATGCAATGATGTGCCATTTCTAGCGAGCCGTTTCTAGCTGTCACCGTCTACACAGTCGGAATACCCTAGCCGCTATAGTGAAGGGCGTTATTAGTGCCGCCCCCCAGGTACGTCAATTAACTAAGTAGCGAGTGTGGTGGGCTTGGCCGGCAAGTCCCATCCTGTGCGGGGATCGAACTCGTTAGGCCAGCCGGCCTGACCGAGTGTACCATGGAAATTCGAATCTTTTTCCCTCCCTAGGTCTATTTGGTCCATACCTTTTTCTGTACCACCGTGACAACTGGCTGCACACACACATCGTCGATCCTTTGTCTCATCCGTTTGCCTTCGACCTCTTCTCTGTCACTCTTGACTAGATTGTGCTGTCGTCACTCTTTCTGTGGGCTGCAAGAATGCGCTCGCGGTCACGCTCGTTGGAACTGTAAGTGATAAGTGGTGACCTCATCAATGCTCACTTCAATGCGGCATTTTGCAACTGCCAGTCACCAAAGGATGCTGTGGCCGCCTGAACCAAAATCTACAACATGGTTAACCTCCATCTTGACCATAACGAGGCTGAGTATGGGCTGCTACCGAAAGGTCTTTGCAGCACCTGCGGTTCTATAAACATTCAGGCTCTCGCAAGCTCGCGAGGCTTTGAGCATTTGACCGTCGGTTCGACTCTGCAACAAAGCGCCAAACGATGCTCGCTATGCCAGCACTTGGCGCACCATACTAAGCAGGCGGCAGGGCTTCATAATGGGAAACATTCTGCTGAGGGATGTGCCGTTCGATTGAAGCTAAAGAGATATTGTGCTGACGCTGCGGGCTCTTCATTTGGGGCTGTAGTCGAGATACTGTTCGAGGGTTACAAGCCAGCTTTCTTCGAACATGATTTTTTTGCAGTAAACACTATTACAAAAGGTAAGGAAACTTTACAGTTTGGTCTTGAAGTGAATGGATTTTTCCTTTTTTTCACCCTCTATGGCATTCATTCACCTTGGAATTTATTCTCGGCCTTTAACATCATTTAGTCGATCCCGCTATAGCATTTGGAGTTCTTCCCGTCAACCACGTCACAACAACTAGCTCGAAGAAGGCCTTTGCCACAGCTCGAAGTTGGATCAACAATTGCTTGAAATACCATCCTCAGTGTTCTCAGTCATTCTTCGAGTCAGAAAACTCAGCTCAGCCTAAACTACTGATTGAGCTGCATTCTGCAACCGGTTCTGGCCCTGACGGTATTATTATCCGGCTGGTCGAACTTGCTGAAACAAGGCGATGTCCTTTCTAAATGCCACCATCCCCGGGGCGCAACACAACTCCAGACCGCATCTGTATTTTTAGTGTCTAAGACTTTATCATGGATCCAATAACTCTACCCAAGAGGCGTGATAGGACAAGGGACAATCTAGTGAGAGCTGTCCTTCGCACGCTTCGAAGGTGTGACCAACTCAGCCGCCGGTACAGCGCCGATATCTATATACTCGTTCGGTGGAAGAATAAGCACCATGAGTATTGCTCTACGGATGACGCAGCATTTCCGATCCGTCCGATAGATCTAGTAAGTGGAGCAAAACAAGTAAGCTGCAATGGGAAACTAAAAGCTTGAAGGACGAGGTCTATCCCCCTGTACTGAGGAGGACGCCGGAAGATTTTGGGGATGTTACTCTAAACATGCAAATTGCTGAAAAACGATAAAGCTTTGGGTATTGTACAGTATACATGTCGTATTTCAGCTATTCTATTATACATTTTGCCCCCAAATTCCCCCATAGACGACCGACTTTTTCTGTCGTAATAGTGAATCGACCTTAACAGCTGTCTAGTGTGTCGGTACCGTATCCACTCGACTCTGCGGTGTTAGACTACAATTTACGGAGGGTCACTGTACAATATACATAATATTATTTTATTATGTCGAAAGTTAAAAGCTTTGGGTACTGTACAGTATACGTGACGTATTTCAGCTACTCTATTACATGTGTTTTTTTCCCCGAAATCCATAGACGACCATTTTCCACAGTAATCCGCGAGAACATTGTGCTAGGATGTAGCGGATTCGAAACTATAACTAGGATGAGTGAGTCTGTGTAATGACCCTTTATTTGTGGATACTGCGTGACAAGCTCGTTCCCTTTTTTTTGAGGAGACGCAGTGATATGTACGCTTAGTTCCGGTCATTTGACGCAATTATAGACTCGCATATCAAGCTGATCTAAGAACCTATGAAAGCTGCGTCATAGTAAGGTATCTTCGGTCTCACTAGGTTTGGCGGCGGCTGGTGGAGGCCATCGTCACAGCCCACAGCATTAGCCCGCGCCATCTTCTTTGTAAGAGCTGCCAACTTTTCACGGCTGGGAGCCGGTAGCCGATCGCTGATCGATGTTCCTGGTGCCAGACACCGCATCCCGAGTTGGCGCAGAGCCCGACATGGCTCAGCGCAGCCCCTCACGTCAGCCGGTGGAGGCCAGGCATCAAAGTCTGGGATCAATCGTGGCCCACCATGAACTGATACAAACCGTAAGATCGGAGACCGGTTGCTGGCACATTTGTCACCACGCAAACTACAGCCTATAACCACCAATGACTATTTCCTGCCCGGTAGGAGCTCGTTGGCCCAGCCGCTGAAGGAGGAGGGTCTTAGGGTCTCGACTGTGGCCCACCGCCGACTGATGCGAACCGTTGGATCGGAACAGCGGACGGACGGTGGCACTCTCAATCGCGGCGCAGCCTCCAGCCCTACACTAGCCTCAATCAGCAATGCTTGGCATGTAAATCAACTGAAGGGTCAAATAATTACTGTAAAGTACGAATCGGGTGTATTTTTGAGCATAATTAGCGCCCGCTGTAACTCTCTTTAAAAATTTAAGTTTAGCGCTAAGCAGCCGAAAATGGCATACAAAGTGGGCGATTTTTTGGTGCCTAAAAACTGCCGCACAGTGTTACCACTTTTTTGAGTACCTAATATTTTTTACGGGGTTACCCACTCGTGTACGCGTGCACAGCAATGCAATTGTTGCAACCAGTACAGCCATGGGCAAAACGGCCTTCCACTTCATAGACAGTTAGTCTTTTAATGTGGGGTCAGTCAAAAATAGCATAGGTCTCTAGGTACTTAATTGATATCTTAATGGCTGGAAATGGCACTTGCTATTACGAAAAATACGTATTGTCCTGCAGCGGCGCTAGCAGCTGCAGTTTCATCCCCTGATTGGCTCAATGCCACAGTGTGAGACTACGCTGAAAGTGTCGACTCGCCATCACCTTGTTTGAGCTAGACGATCATGCAGCTCTGGTCTCCAACCTTAAATTCAGAAATGTCTCCTTCCCAAGGCATCATCATATCGAGGTGACCCTCATAGGTTCTTTTTTCTTTTCTTTTCAATATTATATATTTCTTATATTAATGTGCAGCAGGCACCCTTTGCATATGGGTTCTGTTCCTCGATCTTGTTTGTTCTTACCAGGACAGTGCAGAAGAAAGTTTGGCACTGCCCGAGTCAGCTGACTAGATGAACGAACTGCGTGTGACCGTAGAGCCGGCCCGCGCCGCTGCGCCACTTCTCCTGAGTGTGCCAAGCTTGTCATGACAACGAATTGCCTCATTGCACCAATTGCAGTTACTCATAGTGAGTCTTCGTGGTTGAGATGCGTCTTTTGGAGATTGACGGTGCTGGTGGAGTCAGATTAACAGGGGAGTGGATTGCGCCAAACATTCCTCCATATGCCGCCTTGTCGCACACATGGGGTAGAGCTACGGACGAGGTCAGCTTTGCGGATATGGGGGCAGGCCGTGGCACTAATAAGCCTGGTTATGAGAAAATCAGATTCTGCGCGAAGCAAGCCTTTGCTGACGGCTTGCGATACTGCTGGGTCGATACGTGTTGCATTGACAAGTCGAACAGTACCGAGCTAGCGGAAGCCATCAACTCCATGTTTCTCTGGTACCAGCATGCCAGCAGATGCTATGTCTATCTTGCTGATGTCTCGATACCAGCGCTACGACCCAACCACATATATAACGCAAAGTTTCTCGAAGATTCTCTACGACTTAGCAGATGGTTTACCCGGGGTTGGACTCTACAGGAGCTGGTGGCACCTATCTCGGTTGAGTTCTTCTCTAAAGAAAGCCAACGTCTGGGAAGCAAGCTAGAATTGGAGCATTGTGTTGCCAAGATAACCGGTATCCCTTTCATGGCTCTTCGAAACCTGCCACTTTCCGAATTTACCATTGATGAGCGCATGCAGTGGGCGCAGAGTAGGGTGACTACACGCCCTGAAGACGCAGCTTACTCATTGATGGGTATTTTTGATGTATATATGGCCCTTCTCTATGGCGAAGGAAGGGACAATGCTTTTAAGAGACTCAGAGAAGAAATTGAAAAAGCACACAAAGGTACGCATGCTTAATGGCAGTGGAGTGGCCATGTTGGGCTTTCGGGTGCCTGCTGACTCTGTGCAAAGTGGCAAAGCCGCGTGCGAGGATTTTTCGAAGGCTGCAGACACCATCTCAGACTCATCTTGATAAGACCCGTGGCTCTGTACTGTGCATGTCAGCACGTACTTTCCAAGTCCTTATTATATGTCTGATTATTTGCATGGTTCTGGCGACAGTGGTGCCTGTTATAGTCATAACACAGACATCATAAATCAGATGTGTCAACCAAGCATATGTACTATAAAACCATCCGATATTGTTATGTGCAAAACGAGCTTGGGATCACACTCTCTGTCTTTTCAAATTCAATATTGGATCGACTGTTTTGTACGGTCTTCGTAGAACAGGAAACTATGGTGCCGCCGCTGGCTTCTTCCGTAATTTTTTCCTAGCCCTGTTACTTACTGATGATAAGTTGCTCTAATTCGGCACGTTTGATTTTCGAGAGATATCGAGCTATGAGTGCAGGAAGCTATGCGTGCAGGAAGGATAATCAGTGCAGTCGCGATAAGTGACTTATTTCCGGTCATGGACAATGACCATGGCTGGAACGGAACAACTTGGCTCCGCCAATCAAAGTATACAGTACGTCACTGTCTGAGGTTCATCCTGTGTGGGACCTATTTTCCAATTGGAGAGCTTCTAAAAAAGTGGAAGGCCGTTTTGTCCATGGCTGTATCACATTGTTTTGACTTGCTTCTCACATCAGCTTTGGACATGCCAGGGCCTCTGGACAGAGCAGGCAAGGGGCCCAGCCTCCTTGGATATTTTCTTCGCCATCTTCTTGGGGCTGCTTTTTCGCGAATTATGGTGAAGGCAAGGCCAGCTAGGCTTACATGCCGCTTCCCCACGAGAAGGACTCCATCGACAGCCTGATTTGAGTCTAGCCACCCGGCAGATGAAGAAGGGAAAAACCGCGCACGTTTGTTTATCAATCAGTAATTTCGACAGGGGTCATACCGAGAAAAAAAAAAAGAACTGGGGAGTCGGGTTCTCCCGACTATAAAAAGTGAAGAATTTTCCATCCTTGAGAGCAGGAGTCCTTGGACATCAGACCTTGCCATCTGATAAGATTGAAGCACAACACCCTCACAATGAAGGCATCGTGGATTCTTCCCGCCGTCGTGGTCGTCTCGGCCGCTTACACGACCAACCCCCCCAAGACCCCCTCCGTCACCGTCAACGGCACCACCTTTGAGGGCCTCGTCCGCAACGGCGTCGACGCCTTCCTGGGCATCCGCTTCGGGCAGGACACGGGCGGCGCGGCGCGCTTCAAGGCGCCCGTGCCGTACGTCTACCCGTCGTCGCCCGCCGTCGTCGCCGCCACCGACGCCGGCCCCATGTGCCCGCAGGTGCGCATCGACGAGGGCGACCCGTGCTCCGAGGACTGCCTGCGCCTCAACGTCGTGCGGCCTCGGGGCACCCAGCCCGGCGCCAAGCACACCGTCATGGTCTGGATCTACGGCGGCTCGCTGTGGGTGGGCAGCAAGGACGACATCTTTTACCAGCCCGACGGCGCGGTGCTCGAGTCGGTTCGGGCGGGGGAGCCGATTGTCCACGTCGCCATCAACTATCGTCTTGGCGGTATGTAACAGCCCCCCCTCCTCCCAGCTTATATCCATTTTCTTGCTGCACAGGTAGAGAGAATTGTTGCTGACAGTGTTTTGGGATTGATGTAGCCTTTGGATTTGCCCAGGACAAGGTGCTCGACGCCGAGGGCTCGACCAACGCGGGCCTCCGCGACCAGCGCCTCGGCCTCGAATGGGTGCGCGACAACATTGCCCGGTTCGGCGGCGACCCGTCCCGCGTCACCATCTACGGCCAGTCGTCCGGCGGCCTGTCGGTCGGCCTGCAGCTGCTCGCCCACGGCGGCGAGTCTACCAAGCCCGCGCCCTTTGAGCGCGGCATCATGCAGAGCGAGTCGGCCATGGAGATTGGCCTCTCCAAGGGCGACTACACGCGCGCCGCCATGCAGCGCCTCGCCGAGCACACCCACTGCACCGCCGACACGGTGGCCTGCCTGCGTAAGCTGTCGATGAAGGACCTGCTCAACGCCACCGTCGAGACGTACCTCGACGGGCCCGCCAACAACATCGGTGACATCTGGCTGCCGCAGGTCGACGGCGATTTCCTCCCCGACGAGCCCATGAAGCTCATCCGCGAGGGCCGCTTCCACAAGCGCGACGCCATGTTTGGCTGGACCGAGGAGGACCTCGACGTCGCCGTCCCCGACGACGTCGCCACCGCCGACGACACCCGCCGCGCCATCACCGGCCTGCTGCCGTTTGTCTCCCAGGCCACCGTCGACGGCCTGCTGGCCCTCTACCCCGTCTCCGAATTCGTCACCTCGGACCCCGACGCCGCGCCCGCGGAGTTTTACCGCGCCGGCCGCGTCATCACCGACCTCATCATGGTCTGCCCCGCCGCGTTCTTCAGCCGGTACCTCTCCGCCGCGTCGCCGGATACCAGCAACTACATGTACATGTGGAACCAGACCACGCTGAGCCTGCCCGTCGTCCGCGTCGCGCACACCTCGGAGCTGCCGTATGTGGTTGGCAACCTCTCCCACCCGGACATTTTCGGCGGCAACGGCAAGGTCACGCCCGACGACGAGGCGCTCATGGTGCGCGCGACGCGGGGCTGGACCGCGTTTGCGGCGACGGGCAAGCCGAGCGGTATCCGGGGCGCGTTTGCCAAGTGGAAGGGGGCGTACGCGAAGAAGGACGGCAAGGACGCGCAGATGTACGTCGTGGGCGGTCCTGGTGAGGGCATGCTCGACTATGCGTCGTATGAGGACCGCCGCACGCGCTGCGGGTACATTGAGGAGCACATTAAAATGGATTAATTTCGCAGTCGCGGGATATCATTTTTCTCCTGGCAGAAATTATTACACGTAGGATAGAAAGAAACAAGAAAGATATAAATGGATTTTTTTTCTTTTTTTTTTTTGGTTTTCAAAAGACTATAAATAACAGCGACGCGCTATCTCGCGACCGATAGTGGATCTTTAACGCGCACACCGTATTCCTGAAACAGGTAGTTGGCCTGCGCTTGATGACTCAGGCTAGGACGATCGAGAAGCCTTGTTTGCAATGCAAGCCTCATGTTCTCTGTGATTTCTCTCGGCCGTCCGGCAGGCTTCGACGGGGCGTCTATCGATCCATATCGACGGATGTTGGAGCGTCGCCTACGCACAGACCGTTCGTCGCAGTAAATTACCTTTTTAGCAAGTTCGTAGTCATTTATTGTTTCATCACCTGTAAGCTTGCTCAGCAAGACACCATGAAGCTCGTTTCGACGAAGTTTCGATAGTCTTGGCGCCATTTTCAGAAGCAAAGAAAGCAGACGTATACGTACGCCACATCAACGCTCGCCAGCGTCAACACTTGCCACGTAACTGTCCAGAGGTGGGGTGCAGACGCCACGCGACTCGGATGCTGGCGAAACATAAATCCGAGCCTCAAAGTATACAGCACGATCAGCGGTATTTTTCATACTGTGTGGGGTCTTTCTTTTACGCAAACAGTGTAAGTTGAGACCGGATGCTAATAATGCTCAAAACAATATTAATACAGTAAAGAAAGGATTTGTGAATTCGGAACTTAAGTTTGAAGGCTCACAGCTGCAACTTCCAACGCCGACATGGACCTCTTATTAGAGGAAAACGCCATCAATCTGCCTGCCACCCACACAGTTGGCGCAGATAAGACATGCTCTCCGCATTATGGTAAGTGTATAAAGGCCAACTTTTGGCCCCTAGTCGGTGCGGCAAGGTAAAGTCTTGGAAAATTGGACTTAAAAAGTCTAGGTATACTGTAATACGGTACATCGAGAAAAGGATAAGAGAGTAAAAAACCTACCTATCGCGGAATCCTGCGGTCTCATGGCGGTATCCGTCTCGGTGTGTGCATCAACGATGAACAAGGACGCTACGCTGCAGTGCCTGGCTCCACTGGTTGACGGAGGCTGCGGTGAGACAAGTCGACTGTGTCTGGCCAAAAAAAAGGGAGGCAGGGGACTTCACAGGGGTATCAGAGAGCACACTGGGCGGCTAGCACAAACGTAACGTGAGGATGGCAAATAGGAAAGTTGCTGACAAATTCCCTGCAGTTAGTAGGCGAACATAGAGGATAGTCCGCTGCCTGCTAAGCAGCCTGAGAAGAGCAAGCTCTTGGGAACCAGGGAGTGAGGGGGGGCAAGGGTATTTCGAAGAATCGAGGATACCACCAAAATCTGCGGGTGTCGGAGGCAGACTCTCCCCTAGTATAGCTTCTCCCCACCAGCTGCTCCACCATCAGTGTCTGGTAATGGCTCAAGAAGCTTATAAGACTCAAATTCAGATGAACGTTTATCAAGAGTAGAAACTGACCTAAGGATTATTCTTCAAAGCTGTACAGTGAAAGGCGAAATTAGCGCCACATGTTTTTAAGTTATTTATTTAGGCACAGCGGTTTTCAACGCTTCTTGCAGCACTGCTGCACCTCCATGTACTAAGTGCCTTCAGGACGCATCATAGCAACGAAAGAAACAAACACGAGTTCACTTCTGGCTCATGCAAAAGAAATTTTGCTAGGCTAAACCGACAAAAGATGCTCCTTGACACCAAAGCGACAACAAAAAACAGACCATAATGGTGGCTACATATGTATACTGCGCGAAGCCCTATTGGCTGGAAGCCACCGGGCGTAATAAACAATGAATGAATGTATACTACGCATATGATTGAACCGGTACTGTAAGACTCCTGCCCAATTTTGGTGCAGCGCTTGTAACAGTGAAACAGCGAGGCCCCGTGCTATTCCGAGGAGCGACTCCTGCTTGGACCATTTGGTATTTAGTGTCAAAATGCACAAACTGCAATTGTCACGAGCGCACGAACGACTCATGTCGGTCTGCCCAGGCCTAGAGACAAAGGGAACAACATTACTTGTCAGAATCTTTTTTGTTGCAAGACGAGGTACGATGTATGTGATACTGTATTGCCATGTGAATTATGTTATTATTCTGCTACGTGTTCCCGCCATGCAGTTCAACAGCCGACATTGCCATAAATGCTCTTCTTGCTTGTTCAGCCGACTGGTGCAGGCGGTATTGTTCCAAATCAGGAGCAGCGCGAATGAGCCCTTCAAACGGCTTGATTACTTTGGTCGCGTGAACGAATACCTTCCACGAACAGCTCCATTTGCCATTTTCTAGGTGGTACTGGCTCTGCCACGCAAGACGGACATTGGCATCCCCACCAGGTGCGGCGACATCCATCAAGTTCAGTGCACCCGTAACTCCTCTATAATGCAGCCATAGTCTGTCTACAGGACCGGGAATGCCGCGTGCGACGTCGAAAGCTTCCGAGTATCGAACCTTGCCAGAAAAGGCGCCTAGAACGTCTCCTTTGTATACCGGGGCGATGGGGCACACATATAAAGAGCATTGGTCTCTAGGAAGTAGAGTGACAAACATGGATTTGTCGCGATCATCGCTATGGTTCGCCGACGGACCTCCAAGTTGGGCATCGGAAAGGCGCGTATGCTCATACGCTAACTCGAATTGAGCCTTTTCGCTGGCGGAGCCCCACATGTTCACTGAACTGTTCCATAGGTCTTCAGGAATACGCAGCCTCTCAGCTACGAATGGGTGCTTCAGCCACAGCCTGCCAGTTCTATCGCCGCCGCATGACGTTGCTACTCTGAGCTCCAAGTGCGTGATGAACCACTCATATAGATGTTCCCATGACAATACCTTGCTTTGTAGGTCATCGCCCTCATAGTGCTTGCAAAAAGTATTGAACTGTTTGGTGTGGTAGCAGAGTATTTTGTCGACACCGGCTCTTCGCATGTTGGACAGTCGACGCCAGCGCTGGCGGTACTCGCTTAGGCGATTGTAAGTCAGATTGTCAGCGCCAGTGCTTCGCAAAAATTCTCGGGTCGCTTGCCTCTCGGGCTCGGTGAAGTCGGTTAGTGGCCCTCTCGCATTCTTTACTTTCGTTGGATCCATCTCATTTGCAAGTTTCGTGATGATATCCCAGAAGTAAGCCTGGCTGTACCGCGATTGGATGTCTCTTCCCGCGAGCGCAGCGTTGCCGGTGTTGATATGACGAACGGCCTCCGTAAAGTCGCGCTGAGCAATATCTGCGACGTATCCTTGGATTCCTATGGTGTTGGCAGTCCACGAGCTTGTCTGCTCTTTACTCATCGATACTTGGTGTAGCTTGCGGTTCAACTTCTCACAATCTACCAGTATTGACTCCATTACCTTTGCTTCGGCAGCTGGCAGTCGAGGCAACACCAGTGGTGGAGGGCTGTATTCAATGTTTCCGGCGTTGTGCGACGACTCGTCAACTGTGGTGTTAGCACCCACCTGATCAGAGGCATCTGAATCGACACTGTCACCAGTGCCACTTGGTGCATGGACACTATGAGTCAGACTGTCTGCGGGATCTGTCGCCGCAGCAGCTTGGTCTCCGGACAACTGACCATTTGACCCAGGTGCACACGTTGGAGGATTGTCCGGCGCATCGCTACTTTCCGGGGTCAAGTGGTTATGGTCGGCATTCCGGGCCGTCAAAATATCCAGCTCTCTCTTCTTGGTCTTTCGTTTTTTTCTCGGTGCTTTATCCATGCCTGCATAGTTCGCAGCGCTGCGTTTCGAATCGGTCTGCAGTAGCCTGTATGAGCCTCGGAATTTAGTTGCAGGCACCTGTTCGTCCGGACACGGTATAACGCTGTTAATTCCGGCCTGCAGTCGAATATCGCAGACTGCAGTCTTTTTAGCATAAAATAATAGTAACAAGTGGCTTTGTTTATACACACTAGAAGCTGTCAAGCTTCGAATGGTGGCGTTGGCTTGTTCTTGCCCGGGTTTCTTAATTCCACACTGCTCAAAAAGCTCTTCAATATTTCGCGCCACTAGAGCTGCGATGAGCTCATCCATGGTTACGCTGAATTATGCCAGTTGATAGCTGCACTGGCGCTCAGATCATTTATCCGTTGCCTGCTCGTTCCAGCACTTTCCACAGGCAACCGAAGCTGTCGTCACTGTGGGCCTGTGACTCATTAGCTCGCGATGTCATCGCGTCTTGCAGTGCCAGGGGCCTTTTCCACTCTTGGCCTAGTGGCACTCATTTCAAATTTAGTGCCACTAGTTTTCATGTTTCTCCGTACAAAGGAGATGACTAGTGGGATAAGGTTGTATCGCCCAGGCTTTGGCGCGGGCTGGCCATGGTGTTGGTAGCCTGACATTATGGCCGCAAGAAACCCAAGGCTTGAAAGTGGACTTATAGATAGGAAGGGTTACATCCAACCCGTATATGAAGGAACCTTGAGAATTTGGTTTGGGCGTTTATGTTTTTATCTCACAGTGTATATACGCAGTTTCTCTTGGCGCTAACGCTGAAAAGGCCGTGACAAGATCGCCCAGGCTTGACACGATGTAAAGCAGCTTAGATTGAAGCATGAGATGGAGAGTCAAGCCCTCCGTAGCGGAATAGTATATAGTAGAAAGACTACGGAGCCCTTCCATCGAACGCCGAGCATTATTCGCGCTAAATGGCGCGTGGTTTATGAGTACCAAGGTAGAGATGCTCCGTGAGGCATAGTGCACATCTTCGAAACTGGTAAAGCGCGATCTGTCATCCGCCTTACTAGACAAAATGGTCCTAGGCAGTGTCTTGGCAGACAGCAGTATTGAAATAACTCGACAAACCGAGCCCAGCCACTCCGATCATCACACTCAGGTACAGTACCGTAGCATGATGGAGTCCAATGGAGCAATTGCCATGTGCATTTTCTAATCCTGATGAACTATTTCATTCACTTCGACTCCTAAATTGGGCTTCTTGAGTCAAGACTGGATAACCTGGCAAAGGTGGCACCATAGATTTGGTTTCTTCGAAATGCCCTTGCCCCCTAACTACATGGTTCCCAAGAGCTTAGCCCTTTCAAATCCCCGCACGATCTTCTATGCTGCGCCCTAGAGGACAACTTCCTGACTGCAACGATCTATCAGCAGCACCGAGCGGCCGTCCATGGTACCACTACGTTGCATTCGCTTTCTACCTCAAAATTCCCTGCCGCGCATCTCCTGACATGCCGAGTGATTTTCAACGAAGATTGGGAAGCCGGCCACGAAAGTGTACTGGAAAACCTCGATGCTAAAGACTCCTGTTTTCCGACGATCGGTCAGAACCACGACCGGGAGCTGGGAGAAGTCTACATCAGACCCCATGAAGTACTCCGCCTTTGCGTTCTACCTTGACAGAATCGGATCGGATTTGGGTTCTGAGGACAAATGGACGTCGTACTG